ACAGAATTAAAAATAAATAAAAATTTCAAAGGCCAATAATATTATTTTTAATAAATTATTAAATTGTCATCAATTGATTAGACATCCTGTTTGATTATTTAAATTTAGACCATTCAAATGGAATCCAGAAAACAACAGAAGACAGGTTTTGGGAAAAATAAAAGAGATTTCACAGTCAGGGCTCATCAACACATTTCCACAGCGTCTCCGTCACGCTCCAGCGTTTCCTTCTTGCTGGTCAATTCACAATTCCTGCCAACTCATCGGAGGCCATCAGTCCAAGCTTTACGACGATTATGTGACCTCCAGCCCCACCTCGCCGCAACCACTCTGTTATCTACTCCACCGCTCTTCTAAATGTCAAATTAATTTGAAGACATGCTGGCGATTCTCTCTAGATTCAAAGCTAATTAAAGAACCCGAGCGAGAGCAGTCGGTCTCTCGTCTGCTCCTGAAGCGCAGGATGCTGGGAACTAATCGCTCTTTTTTTGCCTGCTTTTAAAGCTCGTGCTTTTAGAGTAATGATTGCGCTTTCATTAATACTTCACACTGGATGGACGTCTCGGCCCAGCAGGGGAACAAAGCGGTTTCAAGACTAAAGTGGACAAAAAGCAAAAGCTTCAGAAGGCCATAAATGAATAAAAATATGGATGCATGCATGCAAATAACGATGCCAGTGTGCAGCAGCCGCAAACATCATGCACATGCATGCAGAACAACACACTTCCACTGCTGCCGTGCAAACTGCTCTGCTGACTGTCAAACACACACACGCACACACACACACACACACACACACACACACACACACTCCCCCGCCGGAGCCGCCTGGTACAGGAAGGTACAAGTAAAGTCTGCGAGAATGAAGCTCTCAAAATATCTGACAGCAAACCCCATTCAGCTTAACCCGTGGGCAAACAAACAATCCAGCTGCAGAGAGGAGATGCGTAGACGTTACTGTGCGTGCCTAAAGAAGAGCAGATGTGTGAAAGTCGGTTTAACCTCCTGATTGCTAATGAAACTTCAGAAAGCAAAGCCACACACACGAGATCCCGTCTCATCATCAGGATCTTCACACTGACGTGTTTTAACCCTGCACAAAGCAATATCTCACTTCTCATTTTGAGGGTTAACAAAACTTGCCGAGATAGAATGTTACAGTAAACCAACAACCAATCACAAGCTGCTTTAATGCCTTGTTAAAGTCGCAATAAAACTGAAGTAGCGACAGATGTTTGTGATGTATATCCGAGTGTAACAGATCACCGAAAAAAAATTAAATGTTGGGCGGGGCTTGGTTCTGTGCATTGGTTGTTGATTGGATGTTCGGATGTGGGCGTGGCTCTCAAAGTGTGAGCTTGCAGGGGCGGAGTTTAAGAGCATGAAATGATTGGAGAAATCCTGCATACGTCACCAAAGAGAAGCTCATCCAGTTATGATATTCTGATTAAACATTACCAGGTTAAAAAAAATTATATGCATGTAAGAATCCTCCACAATATGATCTATAAAATGCATTTAGAAAATAGACATTTCATGCCGACTTTATCTATTTGCTTTGTAATGCAGGATGAAGAAAATCCAACTTTTTTTGTTAGTCCAACTTTAAGGCTTTAGACTTTAAACTTTAAAGACATTACTGCTAAATAATTAAAGTGCATTTAAACTCGCTTCCTGTAAGACTCGTGCAACCCCACCAACCTGTTCACCATCAACACAAGACACTTTTACACTGGTTTACCACATTTGTGAAGGACTTACAGCATGAAGCAACCTGTTGAACTTGATGAGCTTGTGAAACACCAGCGTGAAGAAAATCATGAACTTAAACCTCATCAGATCTGACTCGCGTGACATATCAGAATTACATAACTAATGACATTCGTCCTCCATGTTTCTACTGCAATATGAGCGTGGTAGTAAAAACGCAGAAGAACTGTTTATATTGAGTAAAGCTGTAGCACTGGCACGTGTCTCACAAATGTTTATGGTTAGACTATAACTACAGTCAGCATGATGCTTGGTTAGTCTGCATTAGAATCAACGCTGACGTTGATTTTTGCACGAAAATGCAGCAGCAGACGGAGACATGCATGCAATCTCTGGAGCGCTTGTGTGTTTTGGCTCGTGTTCACCCAACAACAATGCAAGGAAAAGTCTTCTACAAAGTCACTTTGGCACCAGCAGCTTCCTCACACACACACAGTTACCGGCCCAGCCCGTGAGGTCACTTCCTGTACAGGATGTAAGGCTGTATCTGATTGGCTGAGAGTCTCATTAATAGCTGGCAGAAACGTATGTAAACACACAAACATACACACGGTCTGATGGGTAAAAGTCACAGGAGACTGCGCAACATCAAACACTTCCTACATCAGACTTTGGTCATGACTAACAGCGTTCTGAGACCCTTTTGACACATAAAACTGAAAAGCCTTTTGGGCAATGTTTGCCTGGGGGGAAAAAAACGTGTCTGTTGTGGCTCAGCAAAAAGGAAGATTCATGGACCGCTTGCTCCTCAGACCGAAGTAGAGGTAGTTTATTGCAAATGCAACCAATAATCATCACCAAAATAAGCCTTTTGCAATCACTAAAATTTGTGTTGCATTGCAAAAAACTTTGCTGCAGCAGATGCATTCATGCACCGACACACACACACACACACACACACAGTGTTTTAATCTCTTCCACCCACGTTAAGCTGTAAAGCACGCTGTAAACAGGTCAGTGCCCAGATTAAAGTGACGCTGTAAAGCGGGGTCACTGTTCAACTCAACGTCTGCAGCAAACGCAGCACATGGATTGTGCAGCCGCAGGTGTTTGTGAAAATCCAGAGACGCCGCACCGCTCAGAACACAGCTTTTGATGTCAATCACCGTGTGCGGAGCATATTAATTCATAAAGACGTCGTCTGTTTCACCCAGCCTGTTAATATTACATTTCTGCTGCTGGAATTATTCACACACAAAACACAAACCAAATCAACAACACCAGAGGATCATCGCGGGATCTCGACACTTACGTTTACAGCTAATATCAGAGCGAGAAACAAACTAAAGGCCTGTTCACACCAGGACAGATATTCAGTGTGATAAATAATTTAATTTGAATGAACGGCTGTCAATGTGTCACAAACATATGCGACAGAATTTTACAAAGAGGGGCTGCCAACCAATAGGATTCTCACTTTTGGTCACATGCTCAGAGACACGGCTGTTACATAAAACCACAACTTGGTGGCGCTGTATTTAGTATTTTACTATATCTGGATCTCATCTCTGTACTCATGGTGTTGTTTGATAAACATGTAGGTACGGCTGCACGATTATGACAAAAATCATAATTGTCGATTAGTCTCTTGTAATTGCGATTAATTACGATTATCACAATTGACATTGAATGATGTTTATACCATTGTTTGATGCAACTGCATGCCGTATTTTTATATGAAAATAAGCTGAAAACACTCTAACTGAAAAACCTTTAGTGCTTTTCTATAGTATTAAGCCTCTGATGTTAACTATACACCGGATTGGTTTCTTCTTTAAATTATAAAAAAGTACAAATATGAATGGTATTATAATGTTATACTGAAACTAAGATATCATGTAGAAAGAAAAAACGCTTCTTAAGCGTGCAGAATAACATAAGTTGACTTTGAAGGATTAATTGCCGCTTTGAACAATTACGTAATTGTGGCATCCATAATTGTAATCGCGATTAAAAATTTTATTAATTGTGCAGCCCTACATGTAGGGAATACAAAAAATTGAATTACGTGTTTATAACGTAAATACTGTACGACTATCTTTTCTTCGTTAAAAACGTGAAGTTACATAGCATTTTGCGTACTGGAGTAACCAGCGTATTTCTGATTTTCTAAACGTGTAGACCATCTCCATTTTCTATTTTTACGTATTGTAAATATCGGAAAACTTGGATGAGCATTCGTGTAGGTCTGAACTGCAATTAAAAGTTGCAGTGAAATGGAACAAGCCACCATTTTTTTGTATCGAGACGTACATCTGAGCGCAACGGGTTATCAGAAAAACAAATAGGGCGGGGACTCATTTCTGTCCATCAGTTGTTGATTGGATGTTGAGATGTGGGCGTGGCTTTTAAAACCAGAGGTTTGCGGCTAATTGTAAGAAAGGGGCGGGGTTTAAATGGACAAATGATTGGCAGCCGTCACCAGAGAGAATCTGTCCTGAAATAAAATTACAATATAGCCTTAAAGACCTAAAGCCGTTATCGGTACGAGTTTATTCAGAGGAAAAGGAACTGGAGCTCATGCAAACGATAAACACACTTTGTTCCATTGTTCAGAAATAATAAATCATGAGTGATTTTAGCCGAGCTGAAAAACATCAAACGCACCACAGTTTAGGTCATTTACCCTGGTAAACCCAAGATATTCTTTGCGGTACACTGTACATATCATTAACATGGTAGTTCATATCACACCAAAATACCGCGGTATTCCCACCTCTACTTTGTTTACATTCCACAGATGTTTTATAATGAAACTAAACACAGGATGTGGGTAAAATATCGATAAAAGTAACGAACCGTTTAAGTAACGAACGCTACTGATATAAAAAATACAATTTCAAACACCAGAAACAAGACCACATTAGTATTATTAACAGCACAATTAGTATGAGCAATTAAAGTTAAATAAATATGATGATAACTACGGTACAGTTCGACGCTCCGGCGCGTCCGAACCAAATAACGGTCTTTATTGATTAATCACAGATCGATACTCACACATTCGGACAGCATCACACAGACTGAGACCAACAACTCAAACGAAACACACTCGCACAGAAACAGAAAGTACGCGAGCCGTTTAATGGACACAAGCCTTCGCAAAGGAGCCGGCTGGAACGAGCTCCCTCCCTCTCTCCCGCGCTGTTCTCTCTCCAACGGTTTCCAGGGATTCGCGGGGAAACCAGTTCCAGCGGCAGAATCCGCGGTGACGTGTGCGTGCTACTTACCGCGCGCGCGAAACGCAGTTGTAATCCAAATGTTAATCGCGGGAAAGTGTGCTGGTGTGTGTGGCGCGTGAGGTGAAGGAGTCTGGAGAGCTCGAGCTCCGGACTGAAGTCACTCCTCCCGGGCGGGGCCAGACAGCAGGAACTCACTCGCATCTTCTTCACAGGTCTTCACAGCGCACTCCACGGTATGATACTGTAACGTAGTAGCGATGTATTTGTAACGGCGATGACAAGCATCACCGATATTGACCGATATCGGCCTATAACAAGTAAATAACCACACTGACAAAAGTACCATGGTAAAGCCTTGATCATGTTTGTTGTTGTTGTTGTTGTTGTTGTTTTTAAAGGAACTGAAGCAAAAATCGTCAGGAAATCACGGAAGAGCATCGGCACAAAACATTATAAGTAACAAACGAAGCGAAAACATAAATATCATCAATACGATTTAAAATAAATATGATAAAAAAAAGATGAATAAATAAACCGATAACTTGGAAATAGGCGTACGTTAATATCGTAAGCATTCGTTTTCTGACTTTGCGTCGTTTCTGTGATTGTTTTTATTGATAGCTAATAGAGCTGAGAAACCTTATCAGCTGTCATTTCATGCTGTTTTGTTCATTTATTGATTATTTTATATGCTTTATAGCACAAAACTAAAGAACACAAGCAGATATTATAGGATATAGAGAAGGCAAAGGTTATAAAATAAATAATATTAAAATTAGCTAAATAAATAGCACAGGTTTATTAAATTCTTTAAAGACGAAATAGCTTGGCTGTATTGCTATGTTTCAAAAACACTAAATAATGGACTACAATTTACTACAATGATTGTGAAATTCAACAAGCTACGTTAAAAAGATTAATAATCAAGTACAAGTTACTCCAGATTAATACATTTTCTGACTTGCAAATATTTTGCATAATTTACGTGATTGTTTTCATTGTTAACAGAGCTGGGAAACATTATCGGCTGTCATGTCATGCGGTTTTTTATTGCTCATTTATTGATTATTTTAATTGCCAAGCTTTCATAGCATGGTTTTAGTGAAGGTAAATAATTATTCTTTCAAATTTAAAAATGTTAAATATGAGCGACCTCCTTTCTGACACGTTGCCATTAAATTAAAACGTTTAATATGCAACTTGTTAGAAACGATGAGGGAACAAAAACAGTGCTGGTTCCTATAAATAAATAAATAAATAAAAGAAGAGGAAGGAATGAGAAAAGCATAAAAGAACATTGGAATTTAACATTGCAATGTCTGTACAGTGAAAGAAATTAAAATGTTCATTAAGGGGCGTCTGCACCGTTGATTTCCCCTATTGTGTTCCCTATGACATTTAATATGCAACTTTTTAAAATAGTGCAGAACAAAAACAATGCTAAAGAAGTAGAAGAAAAAGACAGGAATAGGAAGCTGCAAGAACTGTACAGTAACAGAAGTGATCTTCTCCATTAAGGGCAACACCTGCCCTCCTAAATTGGTTTCGTGGGCGCTGATGAAACTTTATTGAACATCATTTTGCAGTTCACCAATAGTCTGTTTAGATCAAACAGGCGTGAGACCACTGAGTGAGTGTGAGTGTGTGTGTGTGTGTGTGTGAGTGAGTGTGAGAGAGAGAGAGTGAAAGAGTGAGTGAGTGTGTGTGTGTGTGTGTGTGTGTGTGTGTGTCCTCTTAAGATGGTGACTGAGTGCAGCTCTCTTCAATCAGTACATATTTGATAAGCATCATCATCATCATCATCATCTTCCGTCTCCTTTTCTTTCTGCTGTATAATGTGTGTGTCACAGACAGACGGTTTCCCCGCAGGGAGAGAGAGACGGGTGGAGGAGACATTATTAAAGAAATGACTGTGATTATGGGATGCATATTTCAAACATGCTGGTTCTTATTTGAATTCCAAGCGCTATGAACAGAAATATTGTAACTAGCTTGGCAAGAGATGTGTTCATGTTTGCAGCATCATCTCTGATACAGTCGTACACTTGTCTGCTTACTGCTTAAATCTCAGCCTGCTACTGAAACTAGAAACAAGCATGAATGGTGCCGCATGTAATGTTGCTGCAGGCGCTGCAAATCATCCTGTGTGTCTAACAGTTTCTTTGCTCCGTATTGATTGGTTCTGCAGCTGAACAGGCCCGTAAGGGTCCAAATGGGCACTTCATCAAAGCGTCCCATCGAGATCTTCAGCATGTCAGCGTGTCTTAAATCATGTCCATCTGCTTATGCACCCTCCAGACAATCCATTACATATTGATTAAAGCCGCATCGATCGCAATTATGCACGTGCTTGTATTGTATTAGTGCTGATAGTAAATTGAGTTATGTCTGCACTTTAGTATTGCACATCATAAACTACACTAAAAGCTTCCTCAGTCTGAAATTCTGCTTTAACCACAGTAATCTTTCTATTTGTCTTCTTTCATTTCACGGAAGTCTTTTCAGAACAGAACACAAAGACTGGACTGAAGCGCCACAACAACATGAACTGGACTTCGTATTGACACAAGACACAGGTCAGCTCAGCCGTCAGACAGATGAGAATATGAATAGTTAAAGATGAGTTGTAAGTTTTAAAGCTCCTTCCGCAGCTGTCCTGAGCTCAGAAACGCTCTCGGTTTCTGTCTGTCAGACTTCACGCAACTCTGAGCAGGTGCAGTCAGACCCAGCCGTGGTAAACTCTCATGAATAAAACACACTGCGTCAACAACAGCGCTCAACCATAGTCTTCATTCAAGATGCCTAATCCATAATCTCATAATGCTCATTAGATTTTATAAGCACAGCAATCCTCTCTCTTCAGACAGCTACTGTACACCCGTGACCATGTCTGTATAGTTAGTCGTGTTTACTAAGACCTAAGCAACCACTCTAAGCACATTTTAATTTGCAATTAAGCTGACTTTTTTATTCAAAGAGACTTACATTGCATTCAAAGTAAACATTTTATAAGTTTATGCATTTCCTGTGAATCAAACCTATGTTCTACTGTTTGAACTACAGGAATGAACACCCTAGCAACAGCCCAGAACTCCTTAGCAACAACCCAGAACTCCCTAGCAACACCCGAAGAACAACCCAGAACTCCCTAGAAACAGCCCAGAACTTCCTGGCTACACCCTAGCACAACCCAGAACTCTCTAGCAATGCCCTAAGAACCCAGAACTTCCTAACAACACCTGAGCAACAACCCAGAACTCCCTGGCAACGGCCTTGAAACAATCCAGAATTCCTTGGTAACACCGTAGCTACAACCCAGAACTCCCTGACAACACCCTTGCAATAACCCAGATCTCCTTAGCAACACCCTAGCAACAACCCAGAATTGCCTAGCAATGCCCTAAGAACCCAGAACTACCTGAGCAACAACCCAGAACTCCCTGGTAACACCTAAACAACACAGAACTCCCTAGCAACGGCCTTGAAACAATCCAGAATTCCTTGCTAACACCCTAGCTACAACCCAGAACTCCCTGACAACACCCTTGCAATAACACAGATCTCCTTGGCAACACCCTAGCAATGGCCCACATCTCTGTGGCAACACCCTATCAACAGCCCAAAACTCCCTAGCAACTCCTCAGAACACCTTGCCTCACCTCCAATGCTCTGCTATTAGAGCTACAGGAATGAACACCCTAGCAACAACCCAGAACTCCTTAGTAACACCTAGCACAACCCAGAACTCTCTAGCAACACCCTAAGAACCCAGAACTTCCTAACAACACCTGAGCAACAACCCAGAACTCCCTGGCAACACCTGAACAACAACACAGAACTCCCTAGCAACGGCCTTGAAACAATCCAGAATTCCTTGGTAACACCCTAGCTACAACCCAGAACTCCCTAACAACACCCTAGCAACAACCCAGAACTCCTTAGCAACACCCTAGCAACAACCCTGAACTTCCTGGCAAATCCCTAGCAACATCCCAGAACTCCCTAGTTACATCCCCGAACTTTCTAGCAACAACCTAGAACTCCCTGGCAACACCCTAGCAATGATCCATATCTCTGTGGCGACACCCTATCAACAGCCCAAAACTCCCTAGCAACTCCTCTGAACACCTTGCCTCACCTAAAATACTCTGTTGTTAGAGCTACAGGAATGAACACCCTAGCAACAACCCAGAACTCCTTAGCAACGCCAAAGCAACAACCCAGAACGTCCTGGCAAATCTCTAGCAGCATTCCAGAACTTCCTAGCAACACCCCATAACTTCCTAGCAACAACCAGGAACTCCCTGGCAACACCATAGCAACCCCTCAGAACACCTAAGCTATGGTAAAGTAAATATAATGGCAGGTTATGTTGAGAAAATGTCCAGTTGTAGTTTATATATTGAGCTTCACAAACAGTTTGACACTTTGAGTGAGGTGAGATGAGCAGATAATAAAACAAAACAGCCTCTAATATAATTATTGTTACTGATGTCAGTCAGATCACTGCGGCTCATTTATTTGAACACAAACCGTGAATCAGTCCATTACTGCGGTCAGACACACTAATCAATGACTCTCAGTGACCTCCTCATTTGGAACGGCTCAAGACATTTATATATTGATGAATTATTAATGTTCAGAGTCAGTGTAAATCAGTCATGTGTGGTTTGACTTCTTGAAGAGAACTCTGATGCTTACAAATTATTTATAATATATAGTGCCTGTATGCTAAGCAAACCAAACCAGAAGAAAGTACTAACAGTAATTTGAATCATTGTGTATTAGACTGCAATGGAACACAGGTTATTTCTTTCGAACATCACTTGTGAATTGATTTTCTGTCTTGTTTCATGTGCTCCACTTCCCTGACCTCATCCTGATGTAGTTTTACTGGAGCAGATCCTGAACTTCAAAAGCAACAGCGCCACCTGGTGCATTGCATGTCCAGTGTGTTGTGGGACGGCGGACTGAGAGCTCACTCACGTGCAGGACTGGCGACAGATGCATCAGTGTATACAGTAACACACACACGTCAGACACAAACACAAACAGCAACTCACTCACTTACTTAGAAAGCATCACAGCTAACATCACACTGCACTGAAACCACTCTGATTTCAACATTCTGCAATTAATTCAGTTCAACACTATTCTGCTGGAGATATCTCCTCCAGGAATGTTCATATAGAGACTGCGCTGAATATATGCACAGAAAACACAATGTACACACAGGGTAGATAATAGTTCTGTCTTCATCAGAACATGGGCTTTCTTGCATCTTAATGCACATGAGCATCAGCATCCCAGTGGGTGTGCTATTCTGTGGGTTACTATAGTAACAGTGTGTGTACTATGCTGCGGGTTACCAGAGTAACAGTGTGTGTGTGTGTACAATGCTGCAGGTTACTATTGTAACAGTGTGTGTGTGTGTGCACACACACACACACACACACACAAACACTCTCTCTCTCTTTCACACACACACACACACACACACACATACATACACAAACACTCTCTCTCTCACACACACACACACGCACACTAGATCTATTTTCCGAAATAGATCTAGTTGTGCTTTATGTCTTGTAAGGAATTTCAAACTTATTTAATTTTTCATATTTCGTTCTGAAGTAAAAGCATTTGCTCTCCATAAAAGAACAGAACCAGGACAGGAGGAAATGATCAGTTACTCAGCTGTTGTCTTTGTGTTTACATCTTTTTCTACTGTTCATCCATATTACCTGTGTCTAAATTCACTTCAGCATGAATTAGAGGTTTTTCTAACACAGACACAGACTGAGACAGAGCTCACCTTTGATACTGGCTGAATTTAGATCCAGTTTTTATTTCCGTTTCTATCAGTAAGTATTCTCTAAACTTTACTAAACAGTGTATGATCTCGGTTTTTCTAATATCTCTCCTAAAAGTGTTTTTAAAAAAGTGAAACACAATGTACAACACACTGATATTTCAATAATGGAACTCTGTTTAATGAATCTATTTATGCACGATATGATTTTGACTAATCGGTCATCAGGTTTCCGGTCTCTGGTCCAGGTGAACCTCCAGCTCAGTGTTTCAGTGATCAGCTTTTGTATAATGTTCTCTCTCGGCCGCTGGTGAATGAGGCTAATCCATGTGTGGATCTCAAACTGAAGCAATCCAGCAGAGATTTGTTAAAAATAGCCCTGTTTGAACAGAGGCCGTTGTGCAGCTATTTATGTAACAGAACCTGCCAGTGTTCACCTGCTTGGCGCTATTTGTCCACATTATGAAATATTGCTTGTGTAGTGCAAATACACAATCTCCTCAGCTCCACACACCGATGCTCAGTGGAGAATGAGCAGAAATACTCTGAACTCTCTCTGTTTACTGCAGCACTTATAACATGCATTCAGTGTGCACTGTAATATTATTGCATGTCCAGTGTGTTGTGGGACGGCGGACTGAGAGCTCACTCACGTGCAGGACTGGCGACAGATGCATCAGTGTATACAGTAACACACACACGTCAGACACAAACACAAACAGCAACTCACTCACTTACTTAGAAAGCATCACAGCTAACATCACACTGCACTGAAACCACTCTGATTTCAACATTCTGCAATTAATTCAGTTCAACACTATTCTGCTGGAGATATCTCCTCCAGGAATGTTCATATAGAGACTGCGCTGAATATATGCACAGAAAACACAATGTACACACAGGGTAGATAATAGTTCTGTCTTCATCAGAACATGGGCTTTCTTGCATCTTAATGCACATGAGCATCAGCATCCCAGTGGGTGTGCTATTCTGTGGGTTACTATAGTAACAGTGTGTGTATACAATGTTGCAGGTTACTATAGTAACAGTGTGTGTACTATGCTGCGGGTTACCAGAGTAACAGTGTGTGTGTGTGTACAATGCTGCAGGTTACTATTGTAACAGTGTGTGTGTGTGTGTGTGTGTGTGTGTGTGTGTGTGTGTGTGTGTGTGTAATATGCTGCGGGGTTACCATTGTAACAGTGTGGGTGTGTACTGTACTGCAGGTTACCATAGTAACAGTGTGTCTATTATGTTTTGGGTTACCATAATAACAGTGCGGGTGGGTACTATGCTGCGGGTTACCATAGTAACAGTGTACTATAGTAACAGTGTACTATACTGCAGGTTACCATAGTAAAAGTGTGTGTACTATAGTAACAATGTGTGTACTTTGCTGCAGGTTACCATAATAACAGTGTGTGTACTATAGTAATAGTGTCTGTACTATACTGCAAGTTACCATAGTAACAGTGAGTGTACTATGCTGCAGGTTACCATAGTAACAGTGTGTGTTCTGTGCCAGGGTTGCCATAGTAACAGTGTGTGCCGGTGTGAGTGGGTGTGGCCCAATGCTTCATCAAGGTCTGAGCTGGAACAATGGAAGGAAACAGCCGGGATGCTAATCACACACACACACACACACACACACACAATTACAGTGCACTGCCTTTAGTCAAAGACGCTGAAGTGAAAAAGAAAACAAAAACAGGAAGTCAGGCTGCATTTTATCTGTAAAAGAGAACTGAGGGATAAAAACACATTACAGTAAGAGAGAAAAGAGTGGATGGATGGATGATACTGAACTGAAACACATATGAGTGAAAATATTCAGATGGAAATGGTGTTATTAAATATACAGCCATACATTTTGTGCTGTGAATGTGTGAATTTCACAACACACATTGTTTCAAAGCAGAGGGAGGAGATGTTCAAGTAGATGAGGAAGAAACATCAACATCCTCTGCTGCCACAAATATTATTTAGCTAACATCAATCAACCTAAGACATTCATTTTTACCAACAAAATAAATTTTTTATGGGTTGCATAATTTTTAAGGTAATAATTGCAGGTTGACTTTTCTACAGTGTACACACTTATAATACTACTTTATTCGAGAGGGTTTCAAGAAAGATCCTCCTCCTTCATCCAAAAACAAACTCCAGCATATTTAGTTGTCAGACACGACTGGACGGGACTGGCTTCTATGCTCAGATGAAACTAAACAAAGAGCTTTTTGGCAGCAAACCTACCAGATGGGTTTGGTGCAAACAGGGATAAAAAGTAGCCCATGCCCACAGTTAAATATACTGCTGGACCTTTAGTGATATTTTTGTGGGTCTTTTTTTCTGCCGGAGGTCCTGGACATCTTGTTCAGATGCATGACATCATGGATTCTATCAAATACCAACAGATGAAAAATCTAAACCTGACTGCCTCTGTTAGAAATCTTATAATGGGCCGTGACTGGATCTTCCATCAGGACAACAGTTCAAAAACAAACATCAAAATCAACACAGAAATGTCTCACTGAGCTCAAAATGTGCTTCTGCCATGGTCGTCCCAGTTCCCTGACCTGAACCATAGAGAATGAGTGAGGTAAAGTGAAGAGAAGAAACACCAGCGGGGAATCTGAAGGATCTGGAGAGATTCTGCATGAATGAATGGTCTCTGATCTCTTGTCAGGTGTTCTCCAAACTCATCAGGCATTAAAACTCAGAGCTGTTATCTTGGGAAAAGGACGTTGCAATAATTGGGTGCCATTAATTGTGGCCAACATGCATTGGAGAAAAACATTTATTTCATCATGAGATTTCCCCCCCATTTTCCATTGTTTATTTCAATGAAAGGTTAGAATTTTGTGAATTTTTTGAATGAAAGATCAAAAGGATAAATGATGCAGATTCATTTTCACAGCCACCTTTGCTCATATTTACCATGGGTGCCGATATGGGCAAAATAAGATGAAAAACATTTAAAATAAGATGAAAAATTGTGATGGCTGTCATAATCAGTAACAGAATATTTCCACACTACAGAAAGTAAATCTAGAATATTTTAAAACAAGGGCGCCATCTTCAGGAATGAATATAAAACTGCACACACATCTCTCTTCAAACACACACACACACACACACACACATACACTCTCTCTCTCTTTCACACACACACACACACACACACACACACATACATACACAA